TTCATTCACTGAAACAAGCAATTCAGAATTCAGTATATATGTGGAATGGTAGCTGGGGAAATAGGGTTCACTTAGAACAGGTTTCAGTACCCTGTACAGGGTCGCTATGGGTCGGAACCGACTCTACGGCACTTAACAACAACAACAACAAGGTTATCCAGGTAAAGGTTATCTCAGGGTTTAGAACTCAGAACAGTTCTGGGTTGGGAATACAGAATGGTTCATTTGTTATGTCTTACTGGCTGTGTTATCCTTGAGAAGTCATTGAAAGCCCGTAGATTCTCACTTATCTCATCATTAAAATAGTGATGAAGGTACCTATTTGGCACAAATACTGTGTTTATTGTTGTTAAGTGACAAGGAGTCAGTATGAACTCATAGCAACCCTGTATAGGGTTTCTGAAGTGCTGTTGGTAAGTTTGAATCACTGTCCTTGACATTAGCAGTCTAATGCTTATCCTACAGTGCCATATCAGAAATACTGTAGGAATTGAAAATAACATATATAAGATTCGTATTATAGTGCTTAAGGAGCTCTGGTAGCACAGTGGTTATGCATTGGACTGCTAACTACAATGTCAGTAGTTTGAGTCCACCAACTGCTCCAAGGGAGAAAGATGAGGCTTTCTGTTCTTTTAAAGGTTTACAGCCTCAGAAACCCTGTTCTGGGTCACTATGAGTTGGAACCAACTTGATGACACATCACTACCACCGTCATTATATTGCTTAGGTACCTCTGTACGATAAGCGCTAGACCGGGAATCACAAGATGGTATTAGTGGTTACGAATCGGGCTGCGAACCTTAAGGTTAGCGGTTCGAAACTATCAGCCGCTCCGTGGGAGAAAGATGAGGCTTTCTACTCCCGTAAAGATTTACACCCTCGGAAACCCTGTACAGGGTCGCTATGGGTCGGAACCGACTCAACGGCACTTCACAATCAAAATCAATAACTAATGGTAGAAGTGGGTTTTTGGCCTCTACCACTCGACGACTGCCGTCTAGTCAGTTGTGACTTAACATGGTAGATAGATAGACAAACAGGAAGCTCTCATCAAGTTGTCTCCAACACGTAACGCTTTTGTACAACAGAACAAAATGTTGCCTGGAACTGGGTCATTCTCATACTTACTAGTGTGTTCCAGTCCATCTTTCTGAGGGTCTCAGTCGCCCTTGCTGTCCCTCTACTTCACCAAGCATGATAAAGTAGCAGCTGTTTAGCAATTGTATTCTTTATATGACATGCCCAAATCGAGCAAGTCTATTGTGATCCATACGATTTTCATTGGCTGTGGATTGCTAGGCCTGTCTTACTTGGGAAGCTCTGTTGAACCTTGACCACCTTACATGACCCTGCTGGCATTTGAATTACTGGTGGCATAGATTCCAGCAGCACAGTCGCACACAATATCAGTCACCACAGGATGGTAAACTCAGACAGGTGGTGATTTTGCCTTTAGTAGTGTGGTTATTGGTAGGTTGTTGCTGTTAGGTGTCTCATAGGACCCTGTTGTAGGGTTTCTGAGGAGTTGAACTGCTGAGCTAGCAGTTCAAACTGACCTTCCATTATCCTGAAGCACCACACCAGGACTCATCTGTACTCTCATTGGTGATGCATAGAACAGAGTCAATATCCACTGGTAGGTGGATCCATGGATATTGACAAGATTCCATACACACCCAAGGAGAGTACATAGGCGGAGTAGAGAGACAAGCTTCCAGAATCAGTAAACAAGTCAACTGAGCTTAAAGGCCTGTCCAGAGACAGCGTTATAGAGCAACCAGTGAGCCTCACGAAAAATTGTTCTTCCTGACAATTCTAGCTAGGGAGTATCTCGGCCCCTTGAAACCATTTCCATGTGAAACAGTACCTGCATTGGGAGTAAAGCTAGCAGAGTTCAAGCCTAAGCATGAGAACACCTCCACATCCCTGTATGCTGTTGCTCCAATTCCTACTTGGTATGTGACTTGAACTCTGGGCTTGCACCTTCATTTAAAAGAAGGCAGCGGATAAGAAAGAAAAATGAGTGAGAACTTGGTTTTTCTTCTTCTTCTTCTTTTTTTTTTTTTATTATTATTTAGAACTTGCTTTTTGCGGGAGGTCTATACAGATGGGAACAGTGTTTGAGGAACCTAAGGAGCTAGGAGAGTAGGAAACCTGACTTCTCTTTTTAAAGTGGTGCTTGTATTGTATTTGTTTATTTGCTTTTGCCTTTAGTAATGTTCCTTCTTAGTCTTCTAGCTGACCTCTTGAGAAATGGTGTGATGGGTCTTCTGTGTGCATCTTGGCAAGCAAGTAAAGGATAGGGTGGGTGGTATTGCAAGTCCCCCTGGATTACATGGTGCCCACTAATGGAATATAGAGAACTTAGATGGGAACACAAGCACTACTGAAGAATCTACCATCAAAGCTCTCAGCTCCCTCTGTTTGCTGTGTCATAGAGAGACTTACCCCTTAGAGGATGTTGAAGGATGTTACTTTCATGAAGAGTTATTTTAAGACTATAATCTAAAAGTTGCCTTTAAGAACAAATTCTTCATTCTTGATCTAATTTGAGTTGTTACAAATACAATGGATTCCTAGTGTGGTGTTGTAGAATCAGCACTGGACAGTGAACCATAAGGTCAGCAATTCAAACCCACCAAAAGCACCTTGGAAACCCTATACAGCATCGCTATGTGTCAGAACCAACTCAATGGCACTTAACAACAGCACTAACATACATACAATGGCATCCCTGGGTGGTGTCAGTGATAACTTGAGGTGCAACTAGCAGGTTTGTGAGGTTAGAGTCCAGTCAGAGGCAGCTCAGAAGAAAGACCAGGTGATCTGCTTCTGAAAAGGAAGCCATTGAAAACCCTATGGAAGGGGGATTTTTGCTAAGAGATTGCTGGGTTTACGTTAATGGGGGTGTAGTCATTTGTACATTTGGAGTTCTGGTATGGCACTGCAGGATAATGTGCTGGACTGCAAGATCTGTTTGAGCCACAAGGTCAGCATTTCAAATCTACCATTCACTCCTTGGAAACCCTATAAAGAGTCTCTTATGAATTGGAACTGACTAGGTGGCATTTAACAACAACAACAACAACAATCTTTTGTAAAAGAATAACTACAAAGGTTGCCCAGCATGAAGAATGTCATCAATGTTATGGAATGATGCATGTAAAAATTGGTGAATATTTTATTGTATGCCCTCATCACAATTTTAAGAAGGAAAGAAAGAGAAAGGAGGAAGAAAGAAAGGAAAGAAAGAACAAAAACTTAATGAGCACAGTTGTACTCTGACACCCAGGGGTCAGATGAGTCTGAACTGACTCCAGGAATACTGGTTGTTTTATATAAACAACATCCACATTTCTAAAGTAATGGGTCTTTGGATGAATTCGTTTGTTATAAAGTGATGGATTTTTTGAAATTGTGTTCAACCTAGTATTTTAAATCTTTGAACGATTTTGGTAATTCCTATCTAGAATTCCTTGCTGGTTATTTTTATATTGTGTAGTTCTTAATGACTTTTGATGGGTTTTTTAAAATGATTCCTGTCAAGAGAATTTGAAAAATATTAGTCTCTCTTCTCCTCTCCTCTTGAGTCATTTTGCTCCCTTAGGAACCAAATACTAACATCTGTTTCAACAACAATTTTTCTTTTTCCCTTGCAAGAATATTTGCTTGTTATTGTTGGGTTTTGGGGGGTTGATTTGAATTTTATAATGGTAAGAATATTGTGAAGCCTGTTTTAGAAAAGTAAAACCCATCAATAGAATTCCTTGAAAATGAAACAAAATATAACAATATGACAGAGGAAACTTGGTTGTTGTTATATGCTGTGGAGTCGGTTCCGACTCATAGTTACCCTGTACAGGGTTTCTGAGGCTATAAATCTTTATGGGAGCAGAAAGCCTCATCTTTTTCCCACAGAGCAGCTGGTAGTTTCGAACTGCTGACCATGAGATTAACAGCCCAATTCATAAGCACTACGCTACCTGTGAAGCCTGTTTTAGAAAAGTAAAGCCCAACAATAGAATTCCTAGAAAATGAAACAAAATGTAACACTATGAAAGAGGAAACTTGGCACAGGTCACATTTGGAGGAAACAGTAGCCTTAAATGTATAATGTCCATTTGAGCAATGTCGGACAGCATGTACATCTGTGGGCCATAAGGTTAAAATAGAGTTCAGAAATCCCAGTGGGAGAACATAGAAGGACAGTGTCTCACCTGCATCTCACCCGCTCCCAGCTCCTGCACCAGCTCCAGCACTGGGTGGCAGGTGAAGGGGGTTTCAGTGCCAACTGTGCTGCCTATCCCATTTTGCTTGCCTAAGGCAGGCACTTTGCAGATGCCTCTGGAGCCATTGAGGGGGGTGACCTGTGTAGATTCTCTTGGGGTGTTTGGCTCTCAGGTTGCATAGGTGGTGGGAGGAGGAACAGGAGGTGAAGGAGGGGTGGGTAGGGCTGGAGGAGTTTAGGGCCCATTACTGGGGGTATGAGCCCTGGTGTAATGCTGCAGGATCAGCATTGGACTGGTAACAGCAAGATTAGCAGTTCAGACCCACTGGCCACTCTTGGAAAACCTACACAGGGTTGCTATGAGTCAGAACGGACTCCGTGGCACACAACAACAATAACTGGGGGCGTGGATGGCAGGCAAAAAAGGAGTAAGGGTGCCTGTGGTGGCAGGCAACCAGCTGGACAGCGAGTGTGCGCTGAGTGCGGGCTGGGCAACCACTCCATAGGATCTGCAGCAGCTGAGACAAAGTTTTTGCGTGTTCTGTGGTGGCGCAGGTTCTGGTGACCCTCCTGAGTGGATTTATCCTATATATTATGTGGTGTTCGCACAACGTCTACATCACACTGTGTCCTTTTTCACAGAATGTATCATGGACACTAGGTGATGCATACCTGTATGTAATAACCTATCAATGTTTCCCAGGTAGCTTTCATATAAGAAACATATTTTGAGTTTGCTATGAACTCATTTTTAAATCATCTTTTGCAGTGTTCTGGGACCAGCCGTGACCTTCAAAGTGAACCCCAATACCCAAAACGTGACAACTGCAGATGTTGCTAAGGCAGCAGGTAAGGCGATTTTCACACACACATACACACACCAGTCAGTGGAGAGAAAGGTAAGCAATACAAAACAACCTGGAAGAAGTACATACACAGTTTCCCCTGGATGATTGATATGTAATGAAGAAGACAGTACCAGGTTAGTGGCAGGAGGGGAAATTGCAGTGTACCATCCTAGAGTTAATTAGCACTGCCTGGGACTTCATTGTTTGGAGAGAGACTGGATGAAAGTGAATTGTGGACGTGGCTTCACATTGCAGACAGGAGACCACAGTGCCATATGTGTGAGAGAAAAAAGGCTAGCTTTTGAAAACGCAAAGATTTGGTGTCTGTAGTAGTTCCAGTGTGAACACATAAACACAATTGTGCTTTGAGGTTTGTCATTTGGTACTGACCAAGAAGCATACACTGATTTTACTTATATTCATCATAGCTCAGGATCTGGAAGGCTTAAATAAAACTTTGGGTCATCAGTTACTGGTCATTCCTAATCATGGAATGATTATTGATGAAGCTTTGCTATCTGTCATTAATTGGAAAACAGCAAACACTCTACTAAGAACAAAATGTGGTGGTGGAAAAAGATTTGCCTTTTCCTGTATCTCAAATTAGTTTTTGGGTTTATTGAAAATTTCTGTGAAATGTGTTAGATGGTCTTTCTGCCTAGTAAGAACCTAAAGAGAACAGAAGCTTACTTTGTTGGTTTTCAGTACTTTGGAATTACTTTCTAATATTTTATAATCACTTATGTGATTGAGTTAAATAGGCATTGACACCATCAAGCAGAAATCAACTGTTTTAACAGATCTTTTACTGAAATGTTGTTGTTTTTGTCCCAACATACAGTGCCGAAATATTCTGGGGTATTTAAAATATTCAGTACTCATTAACTGAGGTTTCACTTTGTCAGCATCATGTTATCTAAAGTTTCTGTATCTGGTCTTATTAAATAACGCCTAACTTAGCTATGGTGTGGTCCTGGTGTGGCACTGTGGGCTAATGCATCAGACTGCAAAGTCGTTTGAACTGCAACATCCGTGGTTCAAGCTCACCAGCTGCTCCTTGGAAACCCTATACAGGGTTGCTATGGGTTGGAATTGACTCGATGGCACTTAACAACAACAACAACAACATAGCTAGTGTGGTATCCTGGTGTGGTGCTGTGGGTTACTGCACTGGACTGCAAGGTTGGTTGTTCAAGCTCACCAGCTGCTCCTTGGACACCTTATAATATATGGTCGCTATGAGTCAGAACCAACCTGACAGCACTTAACAACAACAACAACGTAGCTATTGCACTCCTAGCATCGCACTGTAGGATCAGCACTGGATTGCGAACCACAGGATCAGAAGTTCAAACCCATCAGCTGCTCCTTGGAAACCCTATGCAGGATCACTATGAATCAGAAGTGACTAGATGGCACTTAACAACAGCAACAACATGGCTATTACACTTGGTGTACTGGAACAAACCTGGTCTTGGTTGCTATTGGTGGTTACTTGTAGGATGCCTGTGTGCCTTTGTTTTTGTTGAGTTGTTTTGTTGAGTCGGTTATGACCCATAACAACCCTGTATCGGGTTTCCAAGAAGCAGCTGGTGAGCTTGAACCACTGACTTTGTGGTTCAAACGACTTTGGAGTCCAGCGCATTAACTCACAGTGCCACATCAGGACTCCATATGTGCCTTTAGTAACTCTTGTATGCCATTAGTAAGTCTTATTTGCTGAAGGTAGAGATACTGGAAACTAATGTTTATAGGATATCTGAAAAGTTATACTCTAAACTCTAGAAATCCTACAAATGAAATCTTGGTAGTGAGTTGAATTCTTCAGGTTTAATTTCATTGTCATATTTCATTGTAAAACATATGGTACCTGAGATGCAATTCAGCAAAATCCTGAAAGATCATTACTTCAGCTGAGCAACTTAATGTGGTCCCAACGACAAAAAAACTCCAGAAGATTTTATTTTCAATTCACTGACACCTAGAAAAGAGTGGAATTCCTGATTCCCACCTGATTCTTGAATCCTCCCTGCCTATCCGCCGCCCCCCTTGTGAGCACACCTCCTCTTATCAACATCTATTTTACTGGTACTGGCTCCTCAATGTAAGTGATTATTTGAGCACATTTAAAAACAAATCTGTTTTCAATTTTTAAGTTACCTCAGACACAGAAAAAAAAAAAAAGGCTTTATTTTAGCAAATGCTTTGTATCAATGATTTTTTTTCACTGAAATATAAATCATCTTCCCCAAAGTCAAATGTATTGAAATATTCTGCATTAAGCAATTTGTACAATAGGCAAAATTCATCCTAGTACTGAGAAAGTATTACTTTTGAAATTGGGTTTACTGGAATTTAAAGTTGTTATGTGAACCCTGGTATGGCATTGTAGGATAAGCCCTGCATTGATAGCCTACAGGTTGGCAGTTCAAATCTAGCAACTTGGAAACTCTATATTGTGTCACTACGAATTGGAATCAACTCAAAGGCACTTAACAACAGCAACAACAAAAATAACAACAACAAAGATGTAATGAATGGAATAACATATATTTTTTTATCTTTTTAAAAAATGTGGGCAATATAAAGACTTGTTTTTATATTTATTTATTTATTTTATTGCTTTAAAGGGGAAATGAAGTTGATTGAAATTTAGTTCCTTGGTTATTTTAAATGTTTACCTGTCACATACTAAAGTGCTTTAAAAAGGGGGACATTGCATATGAAATATATTTGAGTCTCATATCAACAACTTCCTAAGTACTTGAATTTGCTGAGCTACATCAATGCTATTCAAGCCAGATGTTTCTTCCTTGTTGTTTATGTGCAAAACTGATCATAATAACACTTAGTGCCCTTTATATTTTGAATAATTTTTCAGTGTTACGAACATACCTGATGTTGTGTAAGAAAGGATGATGAAAAGTAAGTTTGTGATCAAAAGAATTTTAAAGTCTGGCAGAGGGACAAATGTGTCTTTTGACCAGTTGTTGTTTTTGTTAAGTGTTGTTGAGTTGTGTCCGACTCATAGTGACCCTGTATGGGGTTTCCAAGGAGTGGAAGATGGGTTTGAGCCACCAACTTTGCAGTACAAACCGACCTTTTGGTTCAGTGTCTTATCCTACAGTGCCATACCAGGAATGCTTTTGACCAGAGAGGGAAACAATTTGACCCCAAGTGGCCATGAATATACGGGAGGCAGACATGCTCAGTATGTTAAGAATCTTGAACTTGAATGAAATGTTGTGTGGTTTCGAGCTTTCATAGATAATGCAGAATCTTAATGGGGGGGGGGAGGGTATGTCTTAGTTTCTTAGTAGAGTTTAACAGAAATACCACAAGCGGATGACTTTATGAAACAAATTTATTGTCTCACAATTTCGGAGGTTTAAAGTCTGAATTCAGGACAAGGCTGTCAGTTCTGGAGGAAAATCCTTGTCTTAGCTTCTCGAGTGTTCCTTGGAAAACACATGATAGCCAGTCTTTCCTCGCTGATGCTTACTTCTTGGGGCTGTTCTACTCTTATTATACAACAAAAGTGATTACGTTTATGACACATTTTATACTATTATGGTTAAGTGCCACTGAGTCAGTTCTGACTCATAGACACACCCTGTATAGGGTTTCCAAGGAGCAGCTGGTGGATTTAAACCACTGATCTTGTGGTCAGCAGTCCACTGCGTATTTGAGCTCCTTCAAATCCAACTACCTGTTTGTATTGGATTACCATCAGGTTGCTAACCTCAGGGTCAGTAGTTTGAAACTACCAGCTGTTCTGCAGGAGAAAGATGAGGCTTTCTGCTCCCATAAAGATTTACAGCCTCAGAAACCATGTATAGGGTCGCTATGAGTCGGAACCGACTCCATGGCACACAACAACAACAACAAGGGACTAATGTCACTTGTTATTGTTAATAAAGGGAGACCCTAGTGATGGAATTCAAAGTGCATTTATTTTGTTAATTTTATATGATATGATTCAAAACTTAAGGCATAGACATATTGGTAATAACACATCATTGTTCTTAAGTGCCGTCTGCTCAGTTCCAACACATGACAACCTTGTAAAGAATGTCTGAGGACTGGGTGGTGGGTTTGAACCATAGTCCTTGCAGTTGGTAGTTTTGTGCTTATCCTATAGCACTATACCATCAAATATTATGCGATATTTATGCTGAATGGTAAATGCAGCTGGTTTTCATTATTCAGAATCTCTTTGTTATACTAGGTGATTCTTTTTGGGAGTTCTGCCTAACTTATGGACTTGAGTATGAGCATAACGTATTATTGAATATTACAAAGAAGTGAGTATTGGACACAGAGCCACTTACTGCAATGCAAATGTATATGGAAATAATGCCGCTGGTCACTACTTTGGATCTTCAAAGCCAAGTCAAATTCAGCAGAACAGAAACTATCTTTATAACTCTTTATTTCCCTGTTATTTTAAAATAGTATATTTATGGTCATTTTTTGCATTTCTCCTTTTAAAGAAAATGTGTTAATCATCTTTTAGAAAAATAACCTCCAGAAACCAAAACTATTTGGTTGTGCTCACTTCATTGCAATGCTAAGGTCTTTCTGCACTGAAGGACCTGAAATCAGGTTCCGTTGATTTATTGTCAAGAGCTATTTTGCATAATGTGCTCTGTGTCCATTCCAACCCAGAGACCAGGCTTTTCCTGTGATCTTTTCCTCTGCTGGCCTGGAGAGGTGGCAGGTTCAGCACTTAGCAGCTATTTAGTGTCAGAATCCTTGGTGGCACAATACTTAAGCACTTGGCTTCAAACCAAAATGTTAGCAACATATGTAAGTATATATGTTGTTGTTGTTATGTGCCATGGAGTTGGTTCTGACTCATAGTGACCCTGTACAGAATTTCTGAGGCTGTAAAGCTTTACAGGATCAGAAAGCCTCATCTTTCTCCCACGGAACAGCTGGTAGTTTTAAACTGCTGACCCTGATGTTAGAACGCTGATTCGTAACATCTGTCTGTCTATC